AAAGGGGGGGGGGGTAAGACGAACCACGTGAGAACGAGTGAAGCTGCTGCCACAAGGAAAGAGTGTACAAGAAGCAGAACTGACCAGTAGGGGAGGGGAGGGGGAAAGGGAACGGGTGAAGGGCGGGAAAAGTCAAACTGGGGCACAGCATGGTGCAATGGTGAAGTGGTATGTGACTTGGCCACGGGATGGAGCTCCCCACGGGCCGCCACGCTCTGAATGGTCACAGGACCGAGCCACACGATGTCACGGTCAGTGTGATGAAGAGCGCGGGCAGCTGTCCCGGGCTGTTGGTGTAACGTGCGGGTCAGTGAATTATCCGTGAACCCAACCTTGGGACAGCGATAGTGACATTTTATTCAAACAAGGGTAGGGGGATGGCCGTACTGCGAGCCGCAATGCTCACTGGCATGGAAATGAAGGCCAAACCAAGAAAACAAAGTCGCCTGCTCTCAGAGGGAATCCATTTTTAACAACCTTTGTAAGCAATATCAAGATGCCTAGGGGAGGGGCTTCGAGGCCCTTCACGGTGGCTAGGTAGGTAGCGACGTAACGCTGTCCCTTTTTCATGCCCTCCCGCGGGAGTGTGTGTTTTTCCCCTCCTCCTTTCATTCATCGCTCCCGCGCCTTCATCCCCAACAACCCGCACACCTCCTCCACCCCCCCCCCGGCACCTCCACCCCACCCCACCCCCACAGCCACCCATTTACCTGTCAGACTGTTGCTTTGCACGTTCAGGTAGTTCAGGTTGGCGGCCAGACCCAGGGAGGGGAGAGGGCCCTGTGTGTGTATGTATGTATGTATGTGTGTGTGTGTGAGAGAGAGAGAAAAGGGTTCCCCATCGGCCCGGGCGCCGGGGGAATAGCAGGGTGGAAGAGTGGAGCAACGATGTGGAGGTAACGAAATGGAAAAGGCGGGAAAGGAGGTTTATCATCAAGGCTTAATTGGGTGTAACCGTAATGTGTTCGTGCGCCCACGCTTTGCTGTCATGGGCTGTTTATATAGCGCACAATCAAGAACTTGAAAGTCCATCCTCCTTACGCCCCGCCCAACTGCTCGGGTCAACCCCAAACCCCCTCCCTTCCTCCCCAACACCTCCCACCCGCAATACCCCCTCCCCTTTCTCCCTTCCTCCACCCCACCCCACCCCACCCCACCCCACAAACACACACACACACACACACACACAAACACACAGACACGCACGCATCGCTGCGCCGCGATCTCCTGCCATCTTCCTTGCCCCTCCGTGCCCTTTCCTGGATTTAGTTGCGAATTTTTAGGTATTGTTGCAATGATGTTGTGCGTTGCCTCCTAACACCCCCCCCCACCTACCACCCCCCCACCTACCACCCCCTCATCTAACACCCCCCTCACCTGCCACCCCCCTCACCTGCCACCCCCCTCACCTGCCACCCCCCTCACCTGCCACCCCCCTCACCTGCCACCCCCCTCACCTGCCACCCCCCTCACCTGCCACCCCCCTCACCTGCCACCCCTCTTACCTGCCACCCCCCTCACCTGCCACCCCCTCATCTAACACCCCCCTCACCTGCCACCCCCCTCACCTGCCACCCCCCTCACCTGCCACCCCTCTTACCTGCATGCCCTTGTTGGTTGCGGATAATCCCAACGGCGGGCCGTTTTCGGACAGGTCCAGAAGTTTGAGGGCGCAGTCCCGTGACATCGCGGGTATGCTGCCGTGCAGCAGATTACCCGCCAGGGAGAGCTGCCGCAGTGAGGGCGACTGAAAGAGGCAGGGAGGCACCGTACCCTGCGGCTCAGAGAAATAAAAAGAGGACGGGTCTTTTATCAGAAAGGTGGCACCTGGGAGCGGGAGTGGGAGGTGGGTTGAGAGAAAAACAGCCCGGAATGCAGCCCGGACATGCGAAAAGTTAAGCCTTTAAAGATATGATATGTAATACGAATAAGATTTAAAAAATAATAATAATAAATTTACGACGAAATAGAGTAAAGTGAGGACAAAAAGAGAGCTTGTTTAGGCGAGTACTCTCTTAGGACTGCGCGCGCGCTCGCGTCATGTCTGAAGGTCCTCACGTACCTTCATGACTTCGTGTGTGTTTTCTCCTCTTTCCTTTTGCCCGATTTCTCCCCCCCCCCTTGCCATCCCCCGAACCCCCCACCCGCCACCTGGGTCCCCCCCAAAAAAACACCCACAGTCAGTAGATTCCTCTCCAGCCGCAGAATCTCCAGTGCCGTACCGTTGACCAGCTCACAGCCCAGTGGACCGCTTAGGGCGTTACGGCCCAGATAGAGGCGGCGGAGGGAGCCTGAGAGAGGGGAAAGGGCTGCGGCCACGGACGCCAGAGTGCCTGCGTGAAATGAGGTAGGGAGGGAAGGGTGGGGAGGGAAGGGTGGGGAGGGAAGGGTGGGGAGGAAAGGGTGGAGAGGGAAGGGTGGAGAGAAAGAGAGAGGAGACAGAGACACGGAGATTTAGGGTTGGTTTCGGAGCTAATGACTGTGGGGGTTTCCGTCGGTTTTGGATTTTTTTGGATGTGGGTGAATACCGAAGTATTGTGCAGGGAAAGGCCTAGGGGGAAGGCGGAAGGAGCGCGGGCGGTAATCCTATGCTGCCCCCTTTCCCCTCCCACCGCTCACCGACTTGGCTGTTACTAGCCCAGTCGAGTACTTGCAGCGCTGGCAGCTGACCCAACTCTGTGGGAAAGGAGGGGCACACGAAGTTGCCTCTGTCGCCGCCGGACAGCACCAACTTGATAATTTGGCCCTGGAATGGGTGAGGGATATGGTAGATGGGAAGGGAAGTGGGGAGGGAAGTGGGGAGGAAGAAAAACGAAGGAAAGAGGGCCGTAAGGTGGGACGGGAAGAGGGGAGGCGGGAGGTGGAACGGAGGCGATGTTCCTTTCGAAGGCGCGCACGCGCACCGCGGCAGGCTCATACATACATACATACATACACAAACATACCGCGCCCTCCCGCGCGCGCCGAACCTGTTCATTGCACATGTTGGGTGGTTGCAGGCACAAGTCCTGCTCCAGGCTGGCGGTTGATGACGTGGCGTTGAGCAGTACGGAACACGAATCCGGCAGTTGATCGTCGTCATCAGGACAGCACTGAGCGGCGATGGCGGCCATTAGGGCCTTATCCTCCGCAGCGAGACGTGTAACTGAGGAGGTCTGAATCTACAGTTTTGGGTTTTGAATGGGGAACACGAAACTATCTGGTCAAGTTCGAAGAGCGTTCAAACTTTTTGCGGATGTTTACTTACCAGCCCACTTCCCGATTAACATTCCTCGCAGCCACAACACACTAAAGCGTGGCGTCTTGGCAACTCAACTGGCAACAAATTCCATCTGGTGTCCCCCACCTTAATGTTGTACCAGGACTCCGCTCCTGCAACCGTTTGGAGGAGGAGCGTGTAGTTGCCGGGGTTCTTGTTGAGGAATGTACGGCTCGCTTGTACGACATCATCCCCGATGCGCTCCTCGGAATGGGACAGCAGTGTGCCGTTGGGCGACAGAAGCTGGCTGCGGCGCACACCGTCGTGGGTCGGGTTGGGTTGGTTGGGTTGGGTTGGGTGGGTTGGGTTGGGTCGGGTTGGGTTGGGTTGGGTTGGGTCGACAAGAGAGGCAGTTTGGGGATGGAGGGTGAGTGGGTGACAGGATGACAGGGAAAAGGAAATGTTGAAGGAGACAAGGGGATACATGGGAGCCCTTGCCCACGTGGCGTAGGGACCTAGTCACTATGACAGCAACCGTATCGTCTGGATGGTCACACGAAGGGGGTCATAGCACTGGCAACGCCTCTTCTTGAGATCCAGAACCCATTGTTCCGCAATGCACTCAAACGAATTTTTAAATCGATGAAATCATTTTTTAGACAGTTGTAGTGTACCCTTCCAATGAAGGTATAGCTAGCTGCAACCCCCAAAGATCAGTTGGCCAGCTGCTTGCATTGCTGCTTGCCCATTTATAACACCATTTAAAATCAGAGTTTTTAGGGCTGCGGTGCCGGTCGTAGCCCCGCAGGGAAAACACTCCCGGACAGTAAAAGTTTACGCCGCAATATTTCTTTTTGGCTTACAGATCTACATCTCCCTTGATGGATTCGACGGTTACGGCGAGATCGTAGTCGGCACCGGAAGGTATTGGGATGTAGAAGCTGCGGTATTCGCGATACGGCAGGATCTCGTACTCTACGAATGGTGGAGGGAATGGTGGAGGGGGTGAGGACGGAGGGGACTCGTTCTTCAGCTTGTTGGGTTACGATGCCCGCGGCGAGGGGCGCCGTGGTTGGACTTGATGGACAGAGCTACCATCGTCCCAAGTCTGCTGTGTGTGTCTATGTGTGCGCGTGTGCTCCTGTGTCTGCTGTGTGTGCCTGCGTGTGCGCGTGTTTATGCGTGTTTGGAAGTAGTGCATCGAAGGAAGGGTTGGCGCTCAGGAGGCGCGTGTCTTTGTGATTGGTGGCGAAGGACGAGATAGACCTCCTGCATTGCGGCTTACGTGCAAGTGAACAAGGTCTCAGGGAGGTTGATGCCTGACATGGCAGGTTAGATCCCCACGGCACGGCCCCTATGCGACGATGGCATTCCTCGGCGTCTTGTCCGATACGGGGTTACGGTACATCTGGCCCCAGGTAGCATGAAAATGGAACGGAGTCCTAGTGCAGGAAAAATTCCACTTACGAAAAAGATCACATGCGGTTGTAGCGCCAAGTGCCCAGCCAGGGCATGCGTAGTCAAGCAAGTTTGTCGTTCCATTGCTCTGAGCTATGGCTGACCAATTGACGCTAAGGCCGAAGATGAATGCAAGTGCTACTATGATATGAAGACTTGATAAAGAGCTGAACATTTGCATGTACACCACGCTGCACGTCTTGGTAGCCTGGTCAAGTGTGAATCGGTGGTTGACCACGAAGCCAACCTAATAAAGAGCCACGAGCCAGCATCTATACGTAATTTAAATTCGTGCCTAGAAGTGAATACAGCCTTTTGACGACTGCCGATGTAAGAGTGTGAACAATCAAGCAATGCCGTCAGCTACAACTGTCAACGCATTTACGATGGCGAAAGTCTTGATTTTTTGCATATAAGGAGCTGTGCGATTTATTTGGTTTATAGGTACATCATATTGCCGGCTGCGTTACTCAGGGTTACGACGACGGGAAGCCCGGGGCAGCTACACTGATAGGGGATGGAGAGGAACGGGGCGCTCGCCCATGCTTGTACGGATTACTTACAAAACACGCCGTTGTAACGATGGGTGTGCACGATGCGCTATTGCATAAAAAATAAATCGCTCTACGGGCCCAGTCCCTCCACGGCATGGGTACTGCAGTGATAGAGTCCTTCGCAGCATAAAAGAGGGCTATTAGAGCATTGTGCTACGTGGCCAGAGTTTCGAGTGCTGGATGAGACGGCAAGGGTGCTAGCGTGCAACTGTGGGGCAGGACTCTGCCTCTACAAACCGCTGGACGCCGCTGGCGACCAGGGCGCTGACACAAACTGGACTCCAAACCACATAAAGCATTTTTTTAGTTTTAAGATATAGGCGAGCGGCAATCTGGTTTCTTTTAACCGTCACGTCGGCGCGCGCTGTTCCTGCCACACTAATGGGAACCCATATTGTGATGTGGGTTGCCTGAACATCCATAGACATATTAATGGGTTTGGCATGATTTCGGGACGTGGGGGAATGCAAGCATTTAATTAACCCCCAAAACAGGGTGGTTTGTGCTAGCCAGGAGAGCGCTATTAGTCCATATATTAAATAGTATCAACATGGTTAATCCTTATTTGTTTAGGCCATGTTTGCCGTCGTTTGGCACAGGTATAGCAGGAGGAGGAAACGACCGGTTTCGGGGCTATTTTTGAAGCTAGAACCTGTGAAGACCAGCGTTCCGGAACGGTTTTTCAGGTAGGATAAGGCTCTTTGACGGATTCGACGCATTTGATAACGCAAATGCTTGGCACCTTGTTCAACATTCCTTGCACTTGACACTTTGACCATCTGCCAGATGGATGCGGAGGACGGGCACGCGTGGGCCTATGAGCTTGACGATGGATTGCCCGTTAACTCAACGTTACATGAACCTGGAAACTTAGTCGGGATCACGGACTTGGCTTCTTCCCGAGTCCCATTCGGCGATGTCACGCGCAATTTTGCCGAGTACTATGCGCCCTTCCTGGAAGTTACGGACGTGAAATCTCCGGACCGTATGTGGCGCCCTTGCACCTCTCGCTTCTCCCCCAACCGGCCTCCTGGCAGCGGAGCAGCTAAGAGGCAGATATGGAACAAGGACCTCCCTCCGCTTCCTAAGCCTGCAACTTGCTATGAGCACATCGTACATGGCTTGCCAAGGACCGGAGCCAGACTTGCTGATCGGGTATGCCCTTGTACCCGTCCTGGGACCGCAACCTGACTGCACGCCTTTAACAACATCACTCCACAACTCCGAGCAATTCCCTTCGTATTGAGCTTCTCCGCTGCGCGCTTTCTTGTTCCACAGGACGCGTCGCCGACTCGGCACACCCCCATCTTATCGTCCGCTATGGCTGTGAAGCCTGTTGCTGCACCAACACAAGCCCCGTCCAGCTCACGTGACCAGGCCGAACTGCTCCGCAACTTCACCGGGAACGAACTCATTGCGCAATCTCACGCGCACACGCACGCGCGGAAGGGCCTTTTTGCAGCCGAAGCACTCCCGACTGCAGTCGTCTGGTTCGACAAGCCTCCCGCGGCACCAGTCTCCGCGTCGCCTCATCTGGGTCTGCGCAACGAGGACGGCGTTGACAGGCTGCCATCGAGTTCGGAGAAGGAGGACGGTGTGGCGGCTGTCGTCGATGAAGCGGATGAGAATGCGGCCGTGGCTCCGCCACCACCCAGCGCCCCAATGGCAAGAGCTCACCGGGGCAATGTGACGGGTACGGCATCTCCGTTAGCCGGCAGCCCAAGGAGGTGAATTCGACAGAGGAGGAAAGGCGACGGCGAGGTCGAAGTGAAGGGTTTCCTGCAAGGCTCCGAACTGTAGGACGGAACAAGGCAATACCTGTGAAAAGTGCTGGGCCGATGCATACAATCGCGCTGCGTGCGAATGCGAGTGCGAGCATAGGGTTTGGATAGGGCTGAGTATTGGCATTCGTTCATGCGCGAGGCAACTCCGTTTTGCTGCGACTGGCGCATATTAAGGGGAAGTGCTAACGTGATGGACGTTGACCCGCTTTTTCCCGCTTGATAACCCATTAACCGCTGAAAAGTGTTTTAAGTTTTATTGTAGCTCACGTCGATTAGTAAATTTGTCTGGCTTGCTGACGCCTGGACGAGTTTACGCGCAGTTAGCTTAGAATTCGGTTAGAATACCGTCGCTTCGCGGAGTAGCAGTTTATTCGTTTGCAGCCCAATCGCACGATTGGGAACATCACCTGCCCGGCCCCATGCTGGTGGCTTCGGTGGTGTATGTGTGGTGTTGGTACCGGATGTAGAATGAGTTGAGGGGGAAGGCGACGATTTGGGAGTATCGTGCGCCACAGACTTGAGTTTGTTATTACGTCCCCGCCTGCAACAACCGCTCCAAGCCCTTTTCGTACACAGGCCGGCGTCCCACCAGATGTAGCCCGCCACTCAAGACTGCGGCCCTGCAGGTGTACACATCCCATTTTCACCTCTCCTCTCCTCTCTTCTATTCAAAGACAAGCAGGTTCACCCGCACCGCTTAAGGCATGGAGCCTCTCGGAAAAGGCAAGCTTGAGCCCATATCAGGTTGTCCCCTGCTTTTCCGCCGTGGCCTCGCAAACCGGAGAGCAGAGCCAACAAAGCGTAAGGAAAGGACTCTTACAACGGCGCTTTGTAGGCCTTGCCTTGCCTTGCCTTGGCCTTGCCTGTCCTATCTCCCTGAAGCAACATGCTGCCAAGTATTGTAGTGCCTGGCGTGGGAGAATTGCTTTCGTATTGGTTTTGGACCGGTCAATCGTGCTTGGAAAAAACCGCGTTGTTACCGCGCCGCTACCGCGTAACCGCAAAGCCAACCGTAACGTTTATCAGCAGTTCCACAAAGCCCACAAAGCTCGACTACAACAAAATGCAACGTCCCAATATGGACATACACATTCACCTTTTTGCAGCCTCCTCAACCTAACGTAGCTGTGTGTGCTTTTTCGCTTTCCCACTCTGCCAGGCTCTCTCCTTCCTGTCATGCATCGCAAAGAAAGCTATAGCACAGCCGTCCAAATATACTCTCCCTTAAGAGCTGTCCGCGGCCACTGTATTGGAACGATAGCTGCGGACAGCTCCCTAAGATCGGAGGAGTGCGTCTCGCCTTCTCCTGTGGTATGGGTGCCTGCTGCCTCCTTCCCCGCCATGCCCACACGGGAAACCACATGGCACTCCCCTCGACTCCCACGCGTCCAAAACACACATACACGCCTAGCCACGTGCATACCAACACCACACATGCAACACCAGACACGCAGGGAGTGAAAAGCCAACGCGAGAGAACGGGAGAGGTCGATGCGAGGGATGAGCGCCTCCGGACTTGGCTGTCAGCCAAGATATAGCCACATGACAGTCCAAAGAGGAGACAGCAGAGAGATGAGTGATACTGCTGCAAAACATGGGCCCCATTTGATGCGGGCTAAGCTCGTACATGTTGTACATCCGCATGCTTTCCGTATTTGCAGTCAAGGTAATCTGCATGCCGGTGGAAGCAGGCTCCCTGCCGCAGCCCGAGTACCGAAGGCAACTACGCACCTAAAGTCAATGGTAAAAATAAGCACAACAACGACGACAGCGCCAGCGCCCTGCACCCAGACTCGTTGTGGGAGTCGGCGAGTCCAAGTCCCTTCCCTTCCTCCTCCGCCCCTTCCCATCCTCATGTAAACGTGCAAGCAGCCGCCGCTGCTACGTGGAAAACCTTACAACCACAAGCTCAACACAATCGGACTCAGACTGAAACAAAAAACATGCAAAGGGAACTTGTGCCGATTGTCTGTAACAAATGTTGTCAAACAACGTGGACTTAGTGCGCGTGCGTGTGCGCGAACAAATGGTAGGTGCGCGTCTTTGTGTGTGGTTGAGGTCATGTATATGCGTGTGTCTCTCGACGTTTGGCTCCAAAGCCCCGTCTTAAACGTCTTCTCCCAAGGCTGTACTCCAAAGCCCAAGTACGACAATACGACACACCACCAACTGCCCCCCCTCCATCTATCCGTGTGTCGCCCTTCAGCCTGTCTGTTGTTCGTCTATATGTCTGTCAATTCGTGCAATTGTGCTGCACTGCTCTGGACCAATAGCTTGGCCTGGGCCCGAGTTAAGATGATCTCCCCCTCTCCCCTCTGCTCCCCTTTTTCACCTTCACTCAACCCGGCCCGCCTACTTCAATACACACACACGCATCGCCATATACGTCTTCGCGTTTCCAAAAACCCTGGGACGCGCGGGCTCCCGCCGCTTCTCGCAGCTAACACCCCGAGCCCGAGCTAAACCATCCCCTGGCATTATGCAGCGCGACCCAGATCCACTGCCACCGCCATAAAACCCCAACGCCGCCCTCTCCTCCTTCCCCCGGGCCCGCCCCACCCCATGCGCCGACCCCAAGAAGATATTACCCAAATAGTGATTTGGTTTGTAGTCATCGCGGTAACGTAGGCAGTTAGATGATCCCGAAACGAAAAAGTAGCTGCCGATGCGGGAAGGGTAAAAACCCGTTTCACCTCCTTCCCCCCTGCCCCGGGGGGAGGACACCAGGCCCAATGGAGAGACTCCTCTGCTGCCCCACGCCCGCCCGCCGCACAATACACGGCAATGCTGTACGTTCGGGTTCTGTACAGCCGCCGGCGGCTACACAAAAGCTTCCTCCTCCTCACGCACATACAGACACGCCAGGTTCGTTCTCCAAACCAAGTCCCTCCCAACGCATACATACATACATACATATATACATACATACGCAAACATGGGACTCTCAAGGGTCCCGCCGCGGCCGTACTCTCCGTACATCATCCACATCCAGCGGCAGCTCCCGGCCGCGTCCGCCGCCGCCGCCACTACCTGGCATGGCTCCGGCGGCCGCCGCCGCCAGCGCCGTACCGCCGCCGCCGCGGCCGTGTCCGTGCGATCTGCTGGCGTCAGGTGCCCCCCCCAGCGTCGCCACCGCTATCAGGATGTCGGACTGCAGTCCCGGACACGCATCCACCATATGTGTGTACCCCTCCGTCTTCATCACGGCCGCCAGGTTACGGGCCACGAAGTCCAGGCACACCTACACACGAAGGTGTCGTGTTTGGTGTGTTATGTTGTGTTGTGGTTTTTTGCTATCTGGTGAGGTGCGAGGTGTAGAGTGAGGTGTAGAGTGAGGTGTAGAGTGAGGTGTAGAGTGAGGTGTAGGGTGAGGTGTAGAGTGAGGTGTAGGGTGAGGTGTAGAGTGAGGTGTAGAGTGAGGTGTAGGGTGAGGTGTAGAGTGAGGTGTAGAGTGAGGTGTAGAGTGAGGTGTAGAGTGAGGTGTAGAGTGAGGTGTAGAGTGAGGTGTAGAGTGAGGTACGAGGTGTAGAGTGAGGTGTAGAGTGAGGTACGAGGTGTAGAGTGAGTGCGAGCGCAGGACCGTGCGCAGGGGGAAAAGGGAAGGAAGGAAGAACATCGCTTGTCGGCTCGTGAAGTCCTTCTCGTCTGGTGGTGGTGCTCACGTGCGGCACCGGGAGGGGGAAGGTGGCCAGGGAGGGGGAGAGACGAACCACGTGAGAACGAGTGAAGCTGCTGCCACAAGGAAAGAGTGTACAAGAAGCAGAACTGACCAGTAGGCAGTTTTGAAGGAGGCGACCTCGGGATGCTGTAATGATGACGACCGCGGAAACCTACCTACCTACCTACCTAGCCGCCAAGACTAAAATAAGAGCGGAAGAAAAGCAGTAGAACGAAGCCGTAAAGAAGTAAAGGTTGGTGTAGAGGCGGCGAAAAAGAACTGATGACGTGAGCTGGAAAAAAGGTCGCCGCCGGCCTGGCGGCGGCATTGAAAAGGCTAGACGAAAACTGGCTGATAAGCTGGTTTTAACAAGCTGACCCTGGGGGTGTGTGTGCTGGTGTGGTGGTGAAGAGGTGTGGTGGTGAAGAGGTGTGGTGGCGAAGAGGTGACGGACGGGCAGAGAGCGCTTCATTAAAGCTTCAATAAAGCAACGTCGAGGAATGGAAGAAAGAAGCAACTCATATATAAATCCTCCCGAGAAACCAGATTGTATGTTGCTGTTTGAAAAAACAAAAGGTTATTATACAACTTATTATAATCAATAGGCATAGAAGTTGCTTTGACTACTCACTGGAAAGGCTGGAAAGGCTGGAGGAAAACATTGAAAGACGGGAGGAAGGTATAGAAAAAAAATCCTCCACCATCCCCACCTGCCGTACATCCTCTACCACCAACAATTGCCGTACCTTCTTAAGGTCCTCCGAGTGGTTCCTGTCCGCCAGCGCCAGAGTGTACGACACCGTGTCGACCTCCACAGTCTCACACAACCGCCGCTCGCAAATGCTCCGAAGCCGCTCCAACTGCATCTGGTCGGCTGCCGCCAAAAGGTGCTGCGCCATCTCCGTCTCAAGGTTCCCATCCTCCATCTGGGTGTCGTACATGCCGTATGTATGACACGGGCAGGCCGTCGTACACAAATACGTGAAGGCAATGGGCAAAAAAACGTGGATGTGGTGAAAGGGATGGATTGGTTGATTGGGGGAATGTGATGACTGACGGGTGGAGCTGCACCAAGTGCCTGTGGCGGAATCAACTTTACGACAAAACGCTGTACGATATTGAATTCTTATTATCAAGGATTGGGTTCTACGTGTTCGTGTCCGGCAGCCATCCTTCCTGCCACAGTAAAACGACGCAGGTACAGCACACCGATACCCATCCGACAAATCAACAACAAGCAAAATCATTTCACCGATTTCCCCGAGTCGAGCATGTCTGTCTGTCTGTCTGTCTGTCTGCCTTCCTTTTCCTGCCCCTTCCCCCCCTCCTCCAACCGCACTCACCCCCTCCGGCAACGAGTCCGTGTACACGTAGTGCAAAAGCGCACGAAACACAGGTGCGCGTATGTCCTGTACGACAGCCCTCCCCGCCCTCCCTTCCCGCATGCTGCTGTTCAGCAGCGAATGGAAGTACTTGGACCGGGCTTGGAGCAGGTACTTGTGCGTCTGGACAAGGATAGGGAATTGCGGGGCGGGGGGGCAGGGGGGGGGAGTTCGACGGGGGAAGCGTGCTGTGGAGGTGTATGTCGGCCTAAATGACACACGTCCTTCACGCACCTTCACAGCACGTCACTACCACCCGAACCACCCGGGACCAGGTAGTTGTCAATGTGCACTCAACAACACCACACACTACACATCCATCAAAGGAACCAAGCCCCCCCTTCCGACAAAGCTAGGGGCCAACCTGACCCCCTCTCCCCCTGAGACACACAGACAGACAGACACACACACAGACAGACAGACACACACACAGACAGACAGACACACACACAACCCGCTCCGGCAGAGCGCCACTCAATTTGACTAAACCCAAAGTCCTTAACGAACCAAAACTCTTAGTCCGTTAACCCCACAACACGCCCCAGGTGAACTAATCCCACCTTGAACTCCTCCCCGTCCGCCACCAGCGTCACATCCGCCCCCTCCCCCGTCTGCAGCAGGCCCGCCAGGTCTGCTCCCAGACAGGGCGGCGGCATTCTGACCAGGTCGGCGGCGCTGCGACCCCCCGAACCCCCTCGCATCAGGGCACCACCTGGGGGGGGGGGAAAAGAGAGACAGACAGACAGACAGACAGACGGCGCTTACGTACACACATGCATACATACATACATACGGGTTCCCAATCTCCGTACCCCAGCGGCGCTCACTCACCACTGGATACAACCAACTCGATGGTGTAACGAATAACTACCGTGTCGTTAACCAAATAGCCCTTAGTGGGATCCTCCAGAAGGGACCTCTTAACGAACTTCCGGTAGCCGTGACAGTTGCGGGCGTTGGGATCCTGTACGTCGTGACCGTTACCACAGGCGTGGGAGGAGCAGGAAGCAAGGCGCGAGCATTTCTTAAATAGTACGGCACATACACCACAGGTGGTGTAGTACGAGATATAAAAGTCAATATTCTTAAAAGAAAGGGTAATAATGCTGGCCACCATTCACCTGACCCCTTAAAACCTTAAGAAAAACCCCTTAATGAGTTTACAAATAAATGTGTGGCATTTCGATTATCTTAGAAAAAAAGATAATCCCCCTCCGTAACACCTTCGTAACACGACATGAGGTGCATTGCCCGAGCTTTAACCCCCTCTCCCCCCGCTCCCCCCAACCCAAAACACACATACACGAGCGCAAAATAAAACCCACCTGTCTCGCACAGCTGATCTTCACCGCCCCGGCATCCCGGGTCCGACCCTTCGTCAGGTCCCGGCCCTGACCTGTTGGGGGTTTGGGAGGTTAAGTTTGTTGGGCGGGAAATTTTCAAATTTTTTAAAATTTGAATGGGGAGAACGGTGCTAGGGAGAAGTCGACTGCCTGCTAAGATGTCTCAGCTGCCCAGCTGCCCAACCGGAGTCCACCATTCTGAGGGCCAGGGCTGTAGATGACGTAGGTGAGGGAGAGTGAGGGGGAGAGAGGGGGAGAGTGAGGGGGAGAGAGAGGAGGGGGAGTTCGCGCGGCCCACTAGTGGGTGGTGGGTGCATCCGCAATCGCACCCCCAGGGGCTTACCACCTATTCCTCTGCTCCTAAGGAGGAACACAATTCTATAAACGCTACCCCCCCCCCGTAACCCGCTTTTCTCCTCCCCCCCCCGGCTCCCCCCCGCCCCCCTTCGCGTCCCCCGCACCAGTCTGGTCCACCAGAGTAAAACGATGGAAAGCTCGGACCGCCTTTCCCTCCGTCGTACTCACGATACCCTAGCATGGAGGAGCAGTACGGCATGCACACAAGTACATTCGCAATCCCACAAACGACAGGTACAGTGGCGGGGAGTGTGTGTATGCGTGTATGTATGCGTGTGTGTATGAGGGGAATAACGGGGTTATCGGGGAAATAAACGCAGGGTCGCTAGCACCACCAGCACCAGCACCATGGGTCATTGGGCGATACCCCCCTCCCCCCCAAAACACACACGGTCCCGCAAACAAACCCGACGTCTCCCGGGCTGATGACAGCCCGTCTCAGCTCTCAGACTGAGAGAGCTCCCCCCGTACTCACAAACACACGCACACACATACATACACACGTACCTGGGGGTTGGGGCCTTCCCCGATTAGCGCCACGAACAGCGCCGCGTACTCGTTCTGTGTGGCAGCAGGCAATAAAAGTGGCAGAAAGCGGCAATCGCAATAACATTCAGCGGCAGTAGCAGCGGCAGTAGCAGCAATGTTGTCAAACAAATGGTTCAAGTAACCCTAAAACCAACCGACGAATAAATGTCAGTGGAAACGCAGCAGCGGCAGTACCACTGGGAGGCGTTAGCAATAGCAGCAGCAGCAGCAACAGCAGCGGCAACATTACTCAACAATAAAGGCCATCAGTTTCAGTAGCGGCAGACTTGTTATATCTGCGTACTAGCCATCAGTTTCAGTAGCAGCAGCGCCCACGGTTCCTTCCTTCAAGCGACCAAGGGGCCAGAGGGACAAACCTCCCCGGACATCATCTTCTACCGCTCGTATACCTTTTTTCCTCACCCTACCAAAGGGATCACACAGCCAGGGGGCATGACGCCGATGAATCTGGGTACGTGCCTGTCTGTAAACTTTGTTGAAAAATCTCCTCTTCCGATATAATACCCTGCTGTCAGTATCTGTTTGTCCCCGCTGTTTGTATCTGCCTGTGTCTGTATGTCAGTCGGTGTCTGTTCGTTCTCCCCCTCGAGCGCCAACTTACCAACTAACTGCAACTAACTAACCACCCTGACAAGACCATCCAGAGCCCGGCTCCAAACGCCCAACAACAAATAAATGGCGCCAAAAACCCAAAAACAACAACTACTCGCAAACAGAAATCAACCCAAATCACAAAACAGTCGCAAAAACTCACTCACAGCAACCATGACAACGCAGCAGTAACCACCAACCGCCAACCACCAATCCCAGTCTCACCGTGGTGTCTCGTCGCTGCTGGCGGTGCATAGGGCCCAGCTGCGCAATCATACCTCCAGGGTGAGCGCCCGCGTGGTGGTGGTGGTGTGGGTGCGGGGGGTGCTGAGCTGCAAGGAGCGCGGCGGGGTGCCCCACACCCACACCGTCAGCAGCGCCCACGGGGGGCCCGCCGCCACCACCACGGGCGTCAGGGCCACCTAACGGGCCTGGACCCGCAGGGCCGGGGGGAGGTGGCAGACCGACGGCGTCCAGAGCTTCATCTCGACCTCCAGGGAGGGCGGCAACAGCCGCCGCCACAGGTAGCGCTACCGCGGCTGCGTGCGCGCCGGCGGCATCTGCGGTTGGGCCGTTGCCCATCGGACCCTCCGAAGAGCTGCGCTTCCCATCGGGATAGAAGAGAAGCACCTGGATGAAGCCGCATGATTGTTGTGAATTGCAAGAAACGTGTTGTTTCGTTGGCGTTACTGAGAATGGGACCCACGACGCAACTGCAGAGATGCAACGTAAGGAGAACGACGGTAAGGCCAACAAAGGACTGACGATGACGCTGGATGGTCTGGGTTACGATATGGAAACTGATGTGCTGACAGGACGTATCGCGTTTTTGGGGCCCGAGAAACTAGCAATGACTGGACAACTTGCCGTCAGAGTACTCACCCACTCGTGGCCTCCAACCACAAAGCGCTCCGATGCAATGGGTTCGCCGTCACCGATACCCTTGATTAGGCTGTACCCAACAATAGTGTGCGTGTGCTCACCTGAAGGTTAGAAACAGTGCAAGGGTCGGCTTCAAAAAGGAGCGTACGTTGCAGCTCCAAAACGTCCCTTCGCTAACTCACCAACAATAGTATCTGTTACCGTCTTCGATGCCGTCCGCTGAACCGGGTTTGCCGTGGCCATTCGGCAACCCAGATATTAACGTGAAACTCTTATACGGGTATCTTTAAGAAAAGGCGTACGAAGGATGCTATGAAGATGGATAGGACGTCTACTAAACGCCTTCTGCAAGACTCTGTACTTGGGCTCGAGACGTCTCGTACAACATGAACGTTCTCTCTTCGCTGAAAGCTTCTCTATCCGGTCCTCATACACATCCTTTTCCTTATAATGATGCAGTCTCTTCTGTTGGACTCCTTCCAAGATGCTCAAAGACCCTCTCCACAGCGGACCTGGAGAACTCTGATGTGCCGCGTTTTTCTTCAGCTGGAGGTGGCCATAATTACGTATTCTGGAGCTCTTTCAATAATTGCTCCCGTGCAATGGACGCGGAAGGTGGGGAGTAGCGAGGCGACCTTGAGTAACGACAGTTCCTTACAGGCGTGCTCTCCAGTGGCGCAGCATGGAGGGGTTGCCATGCTAGCGCTTGCAACAGCACTCCACATCGGACTTCATGCAAAGTCGGAGAGAATTTTAGAAGCCGTCTTGTATGCTCTTCTGGTCGGCGATGTTGCCCACCTTGCAGCGGCAGTGCTTATGGCAGCCAACGACGGCTGGCAGCTCGACGCAACTAACACAGCGGGAGTCATTTTTACAGCATTGTGTATCATGGTGCGGTTTCTTCTGTTGCGTGAAGTATGGTCGCGCAAGCAAGCGCGACCCCAAAAGTACGCCGCGCTGGCGGATGAGCTTGACAGCTTCCAACATGTTTTTAGGAAGTCCGTGGAACTGAACGCGGCTTACATGGCTCAGAAATCCACTTCCGGACCGACCGAGCCCGTGGCTGGGCATGATGACACTGGCCTTGCGCCTGGCAGCTCCAACGCGGCAGGTTTTAAGGAGGATTAGGAGGCCAAGATGGCCGACCGTCGTGAATCTTACACACATCTCTTTCTCTCTCACTTTTCCTTCCTCGGTGTATGGGCATTGCCATGAGTGTCTACATACAGAGTCCGACGTGCTTCGGTGGCTGGGGTGTGGGTGGTCTGGTGCGTGTGGTGGCCATCTTGGTGAAGGGCCTCCCGCTCGCCAGGACAGTGCATTCCAATCAGGTTAGGCACCGGAGAAATGCACCCGGAAGCGAATTTTTTTTCGGTATTTCGCCCCCACACATATGTGATACGCATGTCAAACATGCCAGGTGCGGCTGCGGCATCACACATGCCGGCGGCGCGGGTTTGCTGACCTGTGCAACTGTATGAATATATGTATGTATGTGTGAGTGCGTGTGTTGTGTGTTTTACTATATGCCTGCCTACCGGTAGTGGGACATATGCCCTGAAGCTTTCGTTATTTTCATTTTTCTTTTTTTTTATGAAATAAATAGACCCGCACGCGCACATGTAGTAACCCTGCTGTGAACATGTACGGAAGGTGCTACACGGTTGTTTGAGGCCGTTTGCCGTTTCTCGTCTAACAGCCGCTTGTCAGTTGGAGGTTGAGGGTGAGGGTGAGCAGTCTTGGCGTAAGTGCTGCATTTTCCACTCCACACAACACAGAAATACACACACACACACGTTGCCGGTGTCGGTGTCGGTCTATCCATTGATTTGGGGCGAACAACTGAACCCCAGAACGGAGGACTGTGGGGGCTAATGATAATGGTGGTTGTGGATGTGGATGTTCCCTCCGTATATTCACGGCGGTCGCGACCTGCAGCCAGCGGAAATGTGAAGGTGGGTGGGAATGGGCGCTGTGTTGCGTGACATCGATCGGTTGAGCTGGAGGATAAATACTGGCACTGGCGATGTGTTTTGGTGGTGTTGATGCGCGTGTTGATGCGCGTGTTGATCTATCTCTAGGCGCTCTGGACGGTTTGCTTTGCTCGGCGGATGATGCTCGGCGTGAAGCTCGCAGACAGATTCAGCGGGTTGAGGGAACAGTTCACTGTCTTAGGTGCTGTGCTGTTGAGTATGATAATTGATTATGTAATGAAAATATTGACATCACAACATAAAAATAAACACTTGCAGTCGATTGGGTCGGGTGGGGTGGGGTCACCGATGGAAGCGCGGGGGGCCCTTACACGCCCCACCTGTAACGCTGTGTGCTGCAGTAGTGAAACCAATCGCATCTGTCTATAGCGCGTGTGATCCTTGTTAGCATTGACACGTGGACTTTTTGGCATTGAGACGAGTGTGGTGGTGATGGTGGTGGTGATGGTGGTGGTGGTGATGGTGCTGTCGCCAGTACGTTGGGGATCAGTTAGGGTTAGGTGGGATCAGGAGCGGCTTTAAAGGTGCGTTTTTGAGTTTGTCTGACGTGTTGCGATTATTATGTGGAGTACCGTAGTACCGCGATTGGAGGGCGCGATAATCGTCGCGTGTTCTGCGAGAAGCTGTTTGGTTGCTGCATGTGTACGTATGTACATATGTATGTATGTACGCATGTTTGTACGCATGTTTGTACGCATGTTTGTACGCATGTTTGTACGCATGTATGTATGTGTTATGCGCAGTGTCATATCCGCCAGTGTTTAACTCGCCTGGTGGGCGCGTGTTGTTGGGTGATGGTGATGGTGGGAGAGCTTTGAAGAGTTGTGCAGTTCAATGACATTTTGATGATACCACTACTCCTGCTATACTCCTGCTACTGCTGCCACTGATATATTGGGGTCCATTGTGCCCCGACGTCCTCAATCCTTGGTAGGTAATGTTGGAAATAAAATAAGCTTTTTAAACGTTTTGGGGTCTGTTCATTATTTTTCTGCTGGTTTGCCTGTCGGTGTGTCGGTCTGGCTGCATAATCTGACGCGATTAGTCCAGCACCTATGGTGTGTTACGGATCGTAACTGTAGCAGTGTCTGGCAAAAGTTGTGTATTGATCACGGCTGGTTGCATTGTCGTCGGGTTCCACCGCCGTACCATTCATCTCGGAAAATGCCTTTGTAGCGTCCTCGGCTCGGCATGGCTGTGTGCAGTGCGCGAGTGGCGGTGTGTCGTGCCGTGTTGTGCATGTGTGCCGAGGAGTGAGAGTCGTTGCTGATTGATGTCCGGAAGTGGCAAAAATGTGATTTGTGCAAAATTGGTGTTTTGTCAGGAGGCACTGCTATATCCTTCAACACACGTGCGGTCCATCATTGGTTCAAGTAAGTACCCCGCTCTTGTATGGCGGTGTTGTATGTGTTGTTATGTTCTCACGAAAACTTCCGGAGATATATTGCCAGGCAAAGCAAGGAAAGGAGAAGAACGGACTAGGTTCCTTCAATTTTGGAAATTATTATGAGAGTGATGGACCTCAGGCTTTGACAGAGGTGTAGAGCTGATGAGAGCTTCCTGCGGATGGGGGGTGGGTTGGGGGGTTTGCGCTTTAATTCCTGCAATGGCAAAAAACACAATGTACGGATGCTCCATGCTGTGACCACCGAGATTTATATTCCTAGAAATCATGTCTTCGAATCGTATGTGGCGGTTGAAGGAGTAGGAGGATAAGGCGCATAATGATGATAATAACGAGGATGATGTCGGTTTGCGTTGTTTGCTTCGTTGGGCACCAGCTGCTGCATGTGTCGCGCGATTAGCCCAGCAGTACCAATTAGTCGAACGAGTCCTGCGGGCTTTGTAACGAATAAGGAATTGATGTATTGTCCGTTCAGCATGCAACTCTTCAATCGCATCTTTTCAGGCGGTGAAATGAGCACATAGCTGCAGCCTCGGCCCCATCCATCCCACCGGCGTGACCATCGGGCGGTGGTTGGAAATGGTAAGCCGTCTGCAAGTGATGCGATGGCTTTATGTTGTGAGGAGCAAGATTTTCATGTCCCGCTGCCGGCGTGAAAGCACGTGTCAGAAAGGGTGGCTTGCCGATGCTTAGAGTTTAAGGCATCAGCGCAAACATCAAAGCGCACATAGAGGAAAAATGCTCAATGACATATTACGCAGACTGTAAGGATTGATATTAAGGTGCAAAATTGCTGGTATTGTGATTCCCTTGACTGTGCTTTGCATAGGTATACCTGCGCTGGTAACCTTACAGGTACGGCGGCCGGATCCAGCTGGGCCGCGGCCAACTGTAACAAAGCCATGGTAGTGAGCCAGCGCTACGGCTATTAACGTGCTGCTTTAGATGAATCTCGAAATGGCGTCCTTCTCCGGAGGGTAACGTTTTCCTGGTAGGCGCACCCTCAAGAGCAGGTCATTCTTTCGAAACTATAATGGTAAGTAATATCATAGTATCCTTGTTGACTGTTATGAATTTTATCTAGCTTTTGTTACCTCAGGGTAGTAACTGCCCGCACTCCTCGAAGCGGAGTTTTATTAGCAAGCTACGGGAAAACATAAAGGCCGCTAATGCTCCTTTATTGATATTTAACTAAATCATTATATAAAAATGCAAGAAACGGGACAGGAGCAACTGCAGCGGGGAACGGTTTGCAAACCAATACGGACGATATCTGAAGCTGCTTCTGGGCGTCGGCGGCTCATGTTTGGCAAAAATGTTCAACCAGTATTGGACGAAATGCCGCCTGAGTCAATTCCTCCCTTTTATGGACCTTACAAGTATCGGTGTGCCATCTTTGTCCTCATGCTGCAGGACCACGCCACGGCAACTATCATCCGTAGTGGCCTCGCGATGCCACCTAGTCGCACATCCGTGGCCCGATTGGGTCAGAACCAGGCGTCGTTCCGAGGGGGAACGCAGGACGTGGGCGGCATGCTAATGGGAGATGACAACCGACTGTACGGCGCAGCGTTCCCGGGCTCTCCCCTTGTAGCAGCAAGGTAAGAGGTCCCCCTATGCAACCGTACATGACAGCAATAGTAGTGTGATAGCTTGCAATGGATTTCCGTACACGACGAATTGCCGTACAGCACCTAACCGACCTTGAAACTTGCACTTAAGTACGCCAACCCCCTACCCCTGTTTTTAAAAAATTATCCCAGGATTCGGCCGCACTCGGCAAATCCGACCTTCCGGCCGCTCAGTGCCAGTGCTGCTGGTCATCAAGTTAACGGTCAGGCCTCCCAAACCAATACCAATAAAGGTAATTACAACGGTCAAATAAGCAACCGCTCCAACTACCATGTCTCCCAGCTCCACCGGGCCAGCAGCACGCCGCGAGACCGGGGGACTGCAGTGCCGCCTGGCGGCGGCGGCGGAGCCGGCGGCGCGGCGGCGGCGCGGAGCGTCTCCGTCAACCGCGGCGGCGGAGCAGCCGCGGCGACGACGG